TTTTTATTCGACATGCTAGAATTTTACAAGAAAAGATAAAGCAATAAAAAGAACATATTCAACAAAACTTTGAAGCTTTTCAGATACCAGCTTGAGAAATATTTAACATGATTTTTTTTCTTACCTAAAAAAACTTCCAGTCGGATTATTGCAGCTGAATCTTCTTCTTTTACTTCACATTTATTCATCAAATGTTGTCTAAGTGGAATTACTCGATGAAGACTCGGTTGTTGATCTTCACTAAGAGCATCAAATACCTCCTGAAAAGGTTCAAGAAAGTTGCAAATATCATCGAGTAGTTCTTTTTCAATCAAATTATAATCATTCAAAGTTCTTTTATTAATTAATACTTCTGGTAATTCAAAAAAAAACCTCTCGAAAAATATCGAGCATAATTATAACACCACTAAAACGAATTTCAGAATACGTTTGTAATTTTTGAGATAATTTTTGTTGTTGATGTAAATGTCTCACAGAAGAAACCACTTTTTTAACTTGATTAAAAATATTTTGAACTAATTCACAATTAACTTTTTCAATTGTATTTTTATTTAAATGAATTTGATCTGATTGAAAAGCATGTTGTAACTGTTTATTCAAATAGTGATCAGCACAACCAACGCGAGAACATTGTTCCAGAAATGCTGGCAATATTTTTAACTCATTACCTGTAACAACAAATTTTGTTGAATCCAGTTGTAGTTTATATTCTTCTAATATTTTATTAACAAATTTTCGAAGATGTTGTGCTGAATGACTAGCTGCATTGTATGGAAAACAACCAATGAGGAACGTAAATAATTGAGAATATTCTCCAACGTATCGTAAAGCTATGCCACAGTAACTAATACCTAAATACATGTACAAAAAAACACTCAGATTGTAGCTGTCTTCATGCATAAACAAAATATTTAATGTTCTAACCGGTATGAGCTTCAGTGCATTGATCGGCTATCAAACAAAAACATGTTAATTGTTCACAAATATCAATTAACTGCATCTTATATTCTTCATGAAGTCGAGTAATATTCCTGCTGATCTACAAACATATAAGATATAACAGTATAATCAATTTATTAAAATATTTTACTATTCTTACGGTGGTCGGGTGTGGAAGAAGATCTGTTATTTCAATTGATGATGTATTGCTGCCTCGACCAACACCAAAAGAAGTTTTTGCTAAATTTTTAAATCCATCACCTTTCACAACATCAAATGTACGTGTACCAAGAGCGCAAAAACCCTATGCAAGCTTCTGTAGTAGAAAATTTAATTTTTCTTGGAATTGGCGATGGCTTTAAAGAAGAATAAAAGTCGTGAACAGCTTTTTTGATAAGCAAAACTTGATTTCTCTTTCTTTGGACACGATTTAACGTGTGTACGTAAATTATTAGTACCATTTAACGATGAATATCGCAATAGCCCTTTGCATGCATTGCAACATACAAATTGTTGCCGATCAACATTTACAATAATATAATCAAAACAATTCCACAAACCTCTTGAAATTAATGTTTTTTCCACTCAATGAATTTTATTGATGGATCACGAGCTCTTATTAATTTTTCAAGTTCCTTTACTGTTAAAACCTTTTTCCTCATAATGTCGTTTGTTGTTTCAATATAAAAATTCAATATAATGTTGTTTATTTTTTCAATATACAAATACGCTGTTAATTTCTTACTAAATCGCTTACTTTTTTCTCCCTTCAATATATCAAGAATTGATATGAATCACATCTTGCTAGACTACAAAAACAATTCGGAATTGTTCGGAGTAGGAATCGGAAGCCGAAAAAATCACTTCTCCGAGTGGGTGTCGCAAACCGAACACAAAAAAAAACACTTTTTTCAGGATCGGAGTTGCAACCAAAACGAAAACTGTTTCTCTTTTCCCGAGCTCGACTCCGAATCAAAAAACGCTACTCCGCTGTTCCCCACTCATCACCCTTCATCGCAACCTTCTCTCTATCCAATACTTCCATCCATGTTGTCCATGGAACTGGTTATATCGCCAACTAATAAAGAAGACAAGCAACATTTAATGCTTCAGCTTGTTCAACCAAAAACATTCTCTCATATTTCATTCTGTACTAACCTGAAAACTTCCCTAAGCTAACATCATCTTTCAGTGACCTGTCCCTTCCCACATAATCAAAATCCCATTATTCCGCAACATCCCCTTCCCAAACTTTGCTTACATAATATTTTCACCGTTCCTAGAGACTGTTCAAGTATTACGTAATCAAATTTTTGGCCATCTTGACCCTCGATCCCTTTAAATAATCAAATGTCATAATTTGCAACCTCCTCTCCCTTGATTACATAATGTTTATAAAATATTTTCTTAGTATACAATTCTTCGTAAGGTTGGAAATTTGTTTTTTAAATTTCGCTTTCTTTATTTTTACACTCGAAAGTACTTACAAGAATTACCGTAAGCATTCACAGCTGTTTGATGAACACGACCATTAGCGATATAAGCATACAGAGGAAAGCACAGTAGATTTATAAGATGCCAAATTTAGTTGATAAAATGTAATAAGGAAAACAAACAGAGGAAGGATAGTAAGCGAGAAAATAGAAAAAAAGAAAGGGACGAAAGGAAAGATGAGTGCCGAGGCAAGAACAACCGGCATTGAT